AGATAGTGTGCCTTTTGCTGCAGGCCACGCACATGCAAGTTGCAGGCTTGGAGCAGGAGCCTAGCGTGCTGGAGGCCCGTAGGGTCGGGTCGAGCGGTGCTGGCATCGGGGCGCGCACAGCAGTGGCGCCAGACCTGCAGAAGAAAACGCCGCTGTTGCCACTCGACATTGGCTCGCAAAGCGGGAAGTTGTTCCCGAACCTGCCTGACCTTCTCGAGAGCAGCAACAGAGGAAGAAGAAATATACGGCTGGCGGATGGGTCGCCGCGGCGGGCTGGGGAGAGCGCGCAGGAGACGGAGGTGCCGCTTCTTAAGGGCTTGGACCTCATGGCCGACACTCACGATTGCGCCAATGGAGGGAGAGAGTCCTTGCCAGAGATCAGCCGCAAGAGTTTGAGCTTGCAAAGCGGTGGCCCGTGGAGGGGGGCGCAGACGCGCGGCAGGGGCCGGTCGACCCCGAAGCTCACATTCAACCAGCAAGGGCATATGGTCGCGCCGACCGTTCAGAATATCAAGTTCAGGGAGCTGGCAGGAGCGGCGGTAATTCCAGGAACCCGCCTGGAGCAGGATGTGATCAAGGCGCTTGCGGGTACCACCAGTGTGCTCCCAAGACCAGCCCGGGCCAACCTGGATATCAGAGAAAGAGGCTGGGGCCGTCAACCGAAGGCGTTGCATGGTATCGAACAGGCCTTGCTCACCAGCCCCTTCTTCGCCACACCCTAGGCCGTCCCCGATGAAAGCGTGGTCCTCATCGGCCCACAGGAGGAGCAACTGGCACAGCGAGGCCTGCAGTAAGGACCAAAATTGATGAATCTCCGCAGCCGGCCTGTCAGCGTGGGGTGCGTGTGCCACCGCAATGGCCAGCGGGAAGTCTGCTCGTTTGCACACAATGATGAGGCTGCGGGGGGTGGCGCTTGTGATGCGCCAATCATCAAGGCGCAGTGGCGGGTTAGTGAGATGTGGCCTCACCCAAATTTCGCAACCATAGCTGCCCTTGACTGCCCCGGACCTCCAAGTGAGCAAACCGGCAGTGTCCCAGCGTCCACCCTTGCTGCGGGTCTCTTGAAGACAAACAATGTCGAGGCTCAGCTTATCCACCTGGGAGTACAGGTACTGGCGGCGTTGACCGTGTCCCGACGGATTGAAGAAGGAGGCACGGGAGTCATGCATCGTCTGGACATTAGCCGTAACGATGCGAAGAGGTACGGGGGAAGTCATGGTTGGCTGGCGAGGCTCAGCCAGCACCTGGGCTTCTGAGGGGGCAGCCGACGGGGATGCTTGAGCATAAGGCTCTTCCGCTTGGGGCGCTGGAGGAAGGGAGTCGGAGACAAGCTGAAGACAAGGCCGCCCTTGTTGAACCCGCGCTCGGGGAACAGCCCATAGCCACGGCCCGGCTTGACGGAAGAGGGCAGGCAGAGTGGGGTCAGTTTGTTTCCAGGGCCGCCACCCGCGTTGCCCCACCCAACCAGCAAGAAAGTCGGCAAGCGTGTTTGGCATGATGCCGACATGGCTGTGCACATGCTGAAAGCGAGTTGTGAGGCGGGACTGGACAGCCTGCCACACGTAACGTGTGTCAGTGGTGACGTTCTCACCGGCTTGCGCCTGCCCAGCGGCGATCTGAAGGGCAGCGGCATTATCAACTGCAATAGTGACCCTAGTAGGCGCGGAGGAGGTGAGCAGCGAGAGTCGGTCGACCCATGCAACAAGCCACAGGCCAGCAGCCTGGAGGGCCCACAGTTCCGCATTGAAAGAGAGGCCGGCGGAGGGCTGCCCTTGGTGCGACCACGGGAGGTCAGCGCCAGTGGCTCCGAACCAGCCGAGGCGATACCAGCGGCCGCGCCACCATGCCCAGGCACAGAAGGCCCAAGCCCCACCGTGCTCACCACTGCCATCTGTAGCGATAAAGATCTGTTCCGGAACGCCACCTGGCCAGAGCGGGTAGCTGGAGAACTCCCGGTGGTAAGAGGCCGGAGCAGAGGCAGGGAGACAGGGAAACAAGTCATGAGACCACCAGAGCTGGTGCAGAGATGCTTGCGCCACACACTCCTCATGAAGGTCGGCTGTCCAGGAAATACCGTCCGAACTGGATCATGAGGGGGCGCCCCAGGCTCGAAGGTAACAGCGGGTACGTGCCAGTAGACCACGGTCCAAGTTGGGCGGGTCCGCGGCCCGATACTCCGGAGGGTTGAAGCCATACAGCGCTACAGGCGAGCGCGGCTGACAGCACAACGTCCAAAAACCCAAAACTCCGAACCAGGACCATCTAGACAGCCTAGGGGACAACCAACCGCCTATGAGACCGAGAAGGAGAGGGGAGGGAGCTCTGCAACAGGTGGAGCTGCTATCACCATCCCTCAAAAACCCGCCATTCCCGTACCTGGGAACAGTGCGAGCATGCAGCGGCTGTCGTCGGGACAAAACATTGGCCCATAAGAGGTTGGGGCTTTCAGGTACAAGATGAAGGCCGAGGTCATCACTACGGTCGGCGGGTATCCAGCGCCCGACACTAAACCTTGCGAGCGTGGGCCGGAAGGTACAATGGTCGGGGTCCCATTGCTCGTCGCGGTCCGTGGGCACAGTATAAGCGGTGCCGGTTCCCCAGGGGACCATGCGAAGAGCAATCCGGGTTGCCGAATTCTGAACGGGCTCCCCCAGAAAGCAAACTGCCGTGCCTGTTGGAGAGTCTCCCAGAAGCGCCCAACAGGCGAACGCAGGCGGGGGACCCATGCAGCCCCGGCGAGTGTGAGGACGTCGCCCGAGCGTAGAAAGAGGGTCGGGTGAGAGGAGTGGGCGGACCCACACCACATCTCCGGCGGGGCCAGAGGTCCGGCGCCGAGCGGCGGCACGCCCTAGTGAGATCAGCAGCCGCACAGGTGGCCGGTAACAGCGCCGCCCGGGTGGCTGGCGGACATTGAAGGAGAACTGTGGCAAATAAGGGATCCGAGGGGATCGGGACCCAGTCAACAACACGGTGGTCTTGTGGCGGTCGCACCTGGGTAAAGCAGGACCACGCCGGTGCGGCGTCCTGCAGGGCTGGAGGGGGCACGGCAGCAGGTCCCCAAAAGGGCCCGGCGGGGTCCCAGAGACGGTGGCAGGTTTCCTGATGATGCATAGTACTGGCTTGCGCTTGGGCATCCGGAGCGCGTTTGCGCCGATCCTCGGTTTCCCCAGAAAGGCGCATCCCAGTGACAGCCGGGGATGCCAGGGGACCAGCGAGCAGAAGGGCAGGGGCTAAGATGCCCACACTGCCCCGGAAAGCGTGTAGCACTGCGAGACCGATGGCCCCTCGAGCAACACTGAGGGAGAAGGCATGCTCCGTACCGGATACAATGTCCCCGCTACGCAGGGTGGTCCCTTGCCGTAGCTCTTGGTGAGGAACCCCTAGGACGCGAGGCTGACTAGAAACCGTGGGCAGGTCCGTCCAAAGCTGCCACGCATCTGTGGCGGCGGTGACTGTAGCACACCAGCAGTGCCCGTCCGCTTCCACAACGACATTGACACTCGAGGGGTCATCCGGTAGCACAACTAAGTGAGCAAATTCTTGCGCAACCCAGGGGACAGGCACCCATCGTCCCGGGTAGTGGAGGCTAAAGTCGCCAGCAAAAGTGTAGTCAAGAGCCCTCCATTGGGATCCGGCTGGTGCGTGGCCACAGATAGCACGTTGGCCGGGCCGCCAGAGTATGAAGGACACTCGCGCCGTGACCGAGAAGTCCACGGCCCAGATCGCACAGTGACGAACTTGCTCGTCTGTGTGAAAGCAGGGCGGTTGGTAGTCTGGCACAAAGGCAGCGGGTGGCAGAGCGACAACAAGGTCGCCCGAGCGCCATCGAACCGCTTGATCAGCGGTGGAATCCGCAGAGAGCGAGCTAGGCGCTCTTACAGACAGCGTTTGCATGGGCTGCAGTGCCCGTAACGCAGAGCTGAGCCAGGAGACTGACGTGGAGCACGGCACCAGAATCGAAAAGTGCCGATCCAAGGAAGTGACGGCCAGGCAGACTAGGTCAGGGGTAAGCGGCCGTGGCACCACCAACATGGCCGGGGTGGCGGCCGTCGGCCACACAGGGACCACGTCAGCACCCCATACCGGATCACAGGCCCGGGCCAAAGAGCTGAGTTCGGAGAGGGAGGCTGCGGTTGGGAGGCGGCCAGCTTCCTGCGGCCCCGTAAAGGGGCTAAGGTAGACAATGTCCAGCTCGGTGCCGGAGGACACATTAACCAAATCCGCTTCTCTCGGCGACATACGCCAGGGGTAGAGGCCGGCCCGAATGGGCTGCTCCGGGACCTCGACAACCGGAACCATACTCAGACCCATGTGCAGAGAGAGAGCAAGCACCGTCCATCTAGGGCAATGGGCAAGAAGCGCAAGCAAGGGAGCCCAAAAAGCAGGACGAGCAGCAGCCGGAGAGGCTGCAGGGGGCGTCCATGGCTCCGGTTCAGCAGGAACTAGTGGGGGTGGCCCAAAAGGATCCCATACAAGGTCGGCTGTAGGGTTGAGCACCAGAACATCGCCATCTCGAAGCGAGCTGTCTGCTCGAACGCATTGCAGGGCTGGTAGGAGAAGCCACCCCGGCGGGGTGCGGAAAACGTTGCAGCCGGCAAGAAGTCTTCCCACTGGCTCCAGGTCAGGGGGGAGCAGGAAAAGCACATGCGCCTTTCCGATCGAGGTCCGATGCATAAGATGGAGGCTGGAGAGGTCGCCGATGAGGACCGGTACCCAAGAGCCCGAGAGCGCCTCGCCATTAAGGCTCCAGAAGGTGGGGCCGTCCGGATTCCAGTAGCCAGCGTCACGGATTCGAAGGCAATGGCCGACTTTGCGATTAGTGTACCAAAGGAAAGCCGAACCCCCAACATCAAAACGGAAGGGAAGGGACCAACTAGCAACTTGCCTAGCCCTCTCCAGGGAAGTGTATTGGAGAAGGGGAAACCTAGTGGCTTCCGGTTGGGAGTTCTCTGGTACTAGACTAAAAGCATCCCCATTGCGCAACCGAACATGAGAGTGAGGGTTGGCGGCGCTCAGCACCGGAGGAGCGACCACCCGCCAGAAACGGGTATGCGGGAACACCCGAGTGGCCAGGCGGTGAATATCAGCAAGGCTCGAGTCAACCGGTGCTAGGGCAACTGCGGAGCAGCTCTCCAAATGAAAAACCACGGTAGCCAGCCCGTAGGGCGCGACAGGTGCAACTGTGATTTGAGAGAGCGGCAGGACAGCCCGTACAGGGAAGAACTTACGCGCCCAGCTTCCGCAGTGCCGAGACCCAGCGAGTTCTATAACCTGCCACGTAGCAGTAAGGTCGGCAAAGAACACCTCACTCCAGCCTCGAAGAGGGCAAAGCACCCTGGCCGTTTGCGGGCGCGGCCCAGGAAAGCAGCGCGCGAGAGGGCAATCGGGCGAGTCCGGTTGCCAGCCGCCTTGAATGACAAAGGGTTCGCCGTCGTTAAAGTCGACCCTAGGCGGGAAGAATCGGCCTGGTCGCCGCCTCGTGCGGATGGTGCGAGCTTCGGATGAGTCGACGCTTGGACAACCGCTCGAGGCACCGGAAGAGACGGCCCAGCCTTGAGTTGCAAAGCTGTAAACAAGCCAGGCGAGCTGAACAGACAAGGAACCCTGCCGGGCGAGCAGGCCGGCAGCAGCTGAAAGCACCCACCAGTCGCCATCACGCACATTGGCAACAGGGCAAGCGCGACTAGAGGCGGGCCGGAGCGAAAAACCATCGACATAAAGATCGTGGGCGGCATCCCGTGCTATTTCAATACAACGAGTAGAGTCACAAGATTGGATGATATTTGCTCTCCCCTCGGCGGCAGACTGTTCCACAAGCCAAGGAGGGGCCCCAAGATGGCCATGGCAGGGGGCCCAGCGATGAGAGCCGAGCTCGTGCTCGTGGCGTTGCACGGTGGCCGCGGCCGCATCCCATCTTGCCTGTTGACCAAGGAGAGCAATTCTCGCAGGGCGGCAGGGTGACCACAAGAGGATGCAAGAAGCGTGAGCCACAACGAAGTCGGAGTGCCACGCCGCAGCTGCATGGGCAGCGCCCCATGTGAGAAAAACAGGGGCCTCACGTGGACCAGCGACAAAATCAAGCTGAGGGGGTTGGACGGCAACAACATCCCCTGACCGGAGTGCCAGAACCGGGCGGGCGGACCGAGCGGCTGCTGCCAAACCAGGGGGTAGGCTAACACAGGCTCGGCGACCAAGGCGCATCTGGACCGCCTGCATCAGATCTCTGGGAGTAAGAAAGGCGGGCAGAACAACGCATATTAACTGCCCGAGACCCGCGACGAGGATGCAGACCAGGCGACTTCCTGGGAGCGGCACCACGACTTGGGCTCCATCAAGGACAAGCCCAGTAGCGGCAAAACCCTTATGCCATGATGTAAGAGTGTGGTGCGCATCGGCGATGACAGCATCGAACAGGTGCTGAGGGTCCACTTCAACCCGGGCCCACGAGGCAAAGGGATTGGCAACTGTGACGGTGAGGCGAGGGGGGGCTGCAACTGGAATCGGGGCTGAAGAGGCAGAGGCCTGCATGTGCATGGCATGGGCCGCAGGCAGGCACATAGAGGCGGCCAAGAGACAAGGCCCAGGGGCTGCCGGCAGGGAGGAGGCTCGCAACCCCAGAGCACCGAAAAGAAGGACGGCAAGAGCGCCAGGGTGGGATCGTCTGATCAGAAGGCTGGCAAGGGCAAGACCCCAGAAGTGCGACCGGCCAGAGCAGGTGCTGCGAGCAAAGTGACCAAAAATGACATCGCCGTTCCGAAGCTCACATGCTTGATCGATGGCATATGAGGGCACTCCTCCCACACAAATGGTGGCTGGGAGAAAGTTAAGCTGGGAGGCAATATGGTCGCGGGAGGAGATGCGGTCAACTGAACGGCATAACCGGCCCTCCGGGGTGGCAGCAACGATGTTGACCTTGGCTGCAACCCCATTAACCTCGATCAGCTGCAGGGCGCGGGCTCGGGTCCATTGGACCGGCGTCCACATGCCGGGGAAATGGTTGTGGAACGTTCCCGAAAATGTGAAAGTCTCTGGACACCAGGCTTCCCCGGCAGCAATGGAAGCCAGGAGCGGTGGCCGCTCGGGTCGGAGTAAATGTACAGAGATGCCGAACATGAGCTGAAATCCGACTGCCCACGGAGCGTGATGTGCCGCAAGTCCGTCCTGAAGGTGCCAAGGCTCGACGAACTCCAGTGGTTCGGAAGGATCCTCGGGGGGATCATGGACATGGACCACGTCACCATTGCGGAAGCGGAAAGCCGCTGGTGGGACATCGAAAAGTTCGCTGACAGCAAGGCCATGGGGAAGTGAGATGCCGCCGACCGGGTTATTGATGTGGCGGGCAATGAAGGCCGTGAGCCAGTCCACCGTCATGGTCCGTGGCGTCAGGGTGGCCCTGTGGTGGCCACGCCACACCAACATGATGGTGACAAGCGCTGCATCTTGTCCGACCGGAACGATCGACAGCTCGTTGAAAGCAGGTCCTGGCCAGACCGGGAAGTACTCGGAGGCCCAACCCGGATCGTCGTTAAGGAACTGCGCCCAAACTTGTGAGTGCCGGGTCTCTTGCGAGGCAGTAAAGGGTGGGAAGACTCCTTGGAAAGGGCTATGCAAGACGACGTAGACAGGATCGTCGGTCGTGATGCCTGAGAAGTCGCGGTTAACCGGGTCAACACCCCAAGGGAACCCTCCTGGGCGATGCATGCCCGATACCAGGCCGGCTCCAAAGAAGAGACCGAAGGTGAAGAAATGAGACGCGCCTCGACCCTGTAGCCCGAAACCCAAAAGACCCCACCAAAGATTGGCCCTAGGCCAGCAAGCGGAAGAAGCAGCGGTGTCGGCCTCAACTGCTTCGGCCGTGGCAGAAGGGTGGGAAGCAGTCGCAGAGTCTGTAAGAAGGTGGCCCGCAGCCGTGCGAGCCGTGCAGCGGCGGGCAGCCAAGCAGTCGCCATTGCGGAACTGAACCACAGCAGAGCCTTCTTGGAACTCCGGGGGGTTGAGGTTACAAGCGTGGCCTTCCAGCACAAGCGCCCCGAGGGCAGTGACAGGGACGCAATTTGGCAGGCAGCAAGGAATGAGGCGGTCATCAAAAACGATCCCCACCGCTGCATTCCCCGGAGCAACGGGGCAGCCGATAAGGTGCACCGCGGAGGAATCTGGCTGAGGCTGAAGGAGAACAAGACCAGCCCACCCGCGATGTCTGGCATGGCTAGTGGGTTGATCGCAGGGCCGGCCGCGTACTCGACCATCTCGCATTGAGGCCGAGCCGTGAAGGGGTTATGAATGCAAAAGGGCGTGCCTAGCGGAATAGCCGCTGCAAAAGTGCGCAGGCCCCGCTGGCGGTTCAGGAGACCGAATTGAACTCTGCGGACGACGTCCTCATCGGCAGCCGGCTCCCGGTCAACTGGAGAGGGCCACTGGCCCAAGGCATAGTCTTCCAGTGGACGGGCCGCGCGCAGGGAGAGGAGCCGGGGCTGAAAGGGAGCGTTGACGGTGGTGGCCCTGCAGGTTGAGAGAATGGTGTCGGTGCAGAGCTAGCAGACGACATATTCACCGAGACCATGTCGGAATTGGAGGTATTGTGGGCAGGCTCTTCATCGGAACTAGCAGACCCCGGGAGGATATATGACCCCCAACAAAGAGGGGAGACATGCAGAAGGCTGAAGAAGAGGCCAAGGCGGGAGTGACCAAGCATCCCCGGAAGCACCAAGAGGGCCCAGGGGCTCGCCGCTGGCAACCGGAGGGGCTGCCCATATCCAGCAGGTCGACGTCGGGTGGTAAGGCCGCAGCTGCAGCAGTGACCTCGGGAGGCCGAGAGACTGGCCCGGCACAGTCAGCAGGCTCTGCGTCGGGCTCGGCAAGGCCAGCCCATAGCCTGGAGGTGTGGAAGGTGAGTTCTTGGGCCAGAGAGTGGACTCTAGAAACTGTGGCATGATCGAGGCCAGTACCGTTGCCCGACAGATCGGTTTGAGTGCCCTGGTCAACCAACGTAGTGGGCACGTAACCGTCGGGCCGCCTGCTACCCCCAGCATCAATGAGAATTGCGGGCTCGAGTGCAGGTCCCTTGCTGGGGACATGCTGGAACCACGGGCCGTCCACAACATATGGTTCGGGATGCCAAGGGTCGTCCTCACTGGGGACACGAGCCAGAGCCCCGATTAGAAGCTGGATAATTGCCCCAGACGGGAGGTCTGGCAAAGCAGCACTCGGAGGATAGAAGGCACCGGCGTAGGCGATGGCTGGGCAACGGTCGGGGACTTGGCCCCCCGGAAAGAGCGTGCGCAAGTGTGCCGAGACGACATCCCAGCTGAAGGGGGTGTGACCAAAGGCAACAACGGCCGCTTCGCCCCAGTGCAAGAGCCAAAAGCGATTTCGCGGCACAGTGGGAGGCACAAGTGGTACAAACAGAACATGCTGGACGCCGCTGTCCCGGGGGCCACAGATGGACCGAAACTCGCCAGGATCATCGATGCTGTGCAAACGGCGCATGAGATCACGCAACCACCTGGTGGGGTAACCTTCAGCCCGCCATGGGAGATCCACCGGCTGGCGGACATTGAGGGTCCAGATGCGCATGATCGCAGGCAGAGCAGGCGGCTCAACAGCTGGTACCAGGGACAGCTCCGGAACGGGTTGCATCGAGGCGGCTTGGCCACTGAGCAAGAGAAGAGCCAAGCTTCCCGCAAGCGACACTGAGCCCGCCTTGGCAGCTACAACCTGAAGGACCCCATCTACCACCCGACCCACGAGACCAGGAAGGACCTTAGCAACAAGGGCTCGGGCTCCATGTGGGCTTGGGGTCATGAACCGCACTTCTGCTGATGGCTCCACGCTGTAGACGGCGCCGTCAGGCTCGATGGCACAGAAGAAGAAGGAGCAGTGCGAGACGTAGTGTTGTACCACGGGTCGCAACAATTCGCAGCCAATCGTGTCTTTCACAATCCACCACGCGGCCGCACCAGGAGGGGCAATGATAAGATCAAGGACCTGAGGGTTAGAGTCGAAGGCGACGTGGAGACCGTATTCACAGGCTGGCAAAAACCCCCCCTAAGTAGGCGCCTAAGTGGGCACCTAGGTGCTGCGCCGCCACCCGCAGATGAATAGGACCTTGTCCAGGAAGCCAGAGGTGCATTTGGACCTCGGAGGAAGGGCAAGTGCGAGCGATATATGCCCCAAGATGTGGGGAAGCTACCGCGAAACCATAAGTCTGTCGGCTCAGCTCATGCGTCCACGACATCGTGCAGGGCCTGGCGAAGTCCCTGCGCAGCTGTAGGCAGCCATCCGGCAGGGTCCTGGGCTGCAGGGCGGTGGACGGGAGAGAGAGTTGCACCGCATTGACAACCGAAGCCAAAACAACCATTAGGCACCATACCCTAGTGCTGCGCAGCCCGGCTAGGCACAGTGCCGTCGACGCCAGGCTCGGGGGGGTGGGCGATGGGCTCGGGCTGCTGTGTTGACACTGTTTCCAGAGTTGGGCAACTCCTTCATGGGAGTCGTAGCCCACGCTGACACATCGGGTCGCGACAGCGGAGAGCTCGCTTGGATACGGCCAAACTCGCTGGGTATCCGAGAGGAACGTGTGCGGAAGCTCCCACAGCGAGATATCAAGAGCAGTGGCAACAGCTTCCCACGAAGGGGCCGGAGTGCACATACCCAGAAGGCTGCTACCCTCTCGAAGGGCCCAAGCGGTGAAGCCCGGGATGCAAGTTATCAAACACTTGACGTGCCACGCGTCGCACCAGAGACTGACAAGGTCGGTGGCCGAATCCGGAACGACCCCGACGCTGCATGCTGACGGAGGCGCTTGGAGGATGGAGGTTTGGGTACTAGTAACCAGAAAGGGGGCACTAGTCTGGACCCCGACACTATGGGCAGTCTTAATGCGGGGCAAAGGGAGGAAGTCCGGGGATTGCCGTATTAAGGGGGGTTGCCAGTGCAAATGTAGCGAGTGTCGTCGGGCACGCCCGAAGTCAGCTTGGGCGTGCACTACCCAGAAATGGCAGTCCTCCCGTCCTGGAAAGGGGGAGGACTCCCAAGACAGCACTGACAGCCCAAAAGGCTGGACCGTCCGCAGTAGAAGGGCAGCAGGACCCGAGTTCCGGAGGAGACTCTCAAGAAACACTGGGAAGGACGAGAAGACACCCGCGAAGGCCATGAAGAGCCCAACCGCGGAGGGGTCGTGGACGTCGGTGAGCCTGTAAATGATACAGTCCTGACCCGGGCGCACTGCAACAAAGGTGGAGTGTGGCAGAGAGTCGGCCCCTGGCACTTCAAGGAAAACATGCTTCCCAGGGATACTGGTGCCAAGCAAGGTCCGAAGCAACGGGGTGGTCAGATCGGCCGAGCGCGGGACCTCAAAGGTGAGTGCTCCATCACTAGGGTGAAGGATGGAGACCAGCCGAGAAGTATGAAGCCACCGGGATGCCGTCTCAGAGTCGGAAGGGAGAACAAAGGCTGACACATCAAGTGTGCGAGCTGTGGCACCAGCCGCGATCCGGACAACATCGCCATGTCGGAGGCGATGAGCAAAGCCCTTCAAGATCTGCACCTCTTCCGCCTCGGCAGCCTGTTGCGCAATGCGCAAAACCTGAATGGCAGTGTAATCAGTCGGTAACTCCGCACAGACAACTCGAGAGCCAGCATCAAATAACACTGTCAGCATCTGCGGGTGCTGAGGGAGAGTGACTAAATTAACAGCGTCACTGGTGGGGCCTGCAGACGCGGCAACAACCTGGGGGCGCCCCAAGCGAATGGCCTGGCGGTAAATCTCGGCAGCAGCCTCCCGGGCGGAACCCAAACCGGAGAATTCAAGCCTGACAGATGTACCCGGCGACCACAGCCTGCAGGTGATCAAATAGCCCCTCTCTTGCACCGGAAGCGACATCCATAAGGGACCTTCGCCGAAGTCCCCTTCCTGAAGCCAAACAGCCTGGAGAGAAGCGTGGATACCGGCTGGCGCTGCAACCCTTCTATCCGTAGCTCTGGCAGCAGAGACGACAACCTCGCGCGGAGAAGCTGGCTCACTGTGCAGGTGAACGGTACAGGAGGGCACAAAACCAAGCAGTGCTATGAGGATGTATCTGCGGGCGCAGCACGGCATGCCAAGTGCTCCGCCATGAGCCAAGACTAAAAGGAGGCTGGAGAAGCAGAGGCGTCGAGGTCTCGCGTGGGAAGGCGCAGGGTCTTCATCAAAGTCTGACCCAGGCGTCGCATCAGCCTGAGGTGCAGTAGTCCCTGGGAGGGCAGCAGTCGGGTCAAGAAAGGCAGCCGGGGATATCCCGGTACAGGCCGGCATGGCGGTGGCTGTTTGAGATCTAGCTGGTGAAGGAAGCAAGGTGTGCTGCATCGAAATGACAGTATCGGTGGCCCCAGAGGCATCGGGTTCGTCCCAGCCCCCTACCTGTTCCTCAGAGGAGGACGAGGAGTCCTGGGAAGAACATTAAGACTAGAGGGAAGTTGCCGGTGAGGACCTGATCAGGCAGAACCACTAGCTCCCGATGTAGCAACCCGAAACCCCCTCTAGAGCATTGCTCAACCCATTCCGGCGGAATGCAATTGCGCTCTCTCCTGGAGGCAGCCCCGATGGCGGCGACGGCAGTGACCGGCGGCACCACACAAACCGTGGTAAGACGCCAGCCAACTGGACGAAAGTCCAGGATGCACGGTACCGCATCCCCTACGCAGTGGACTTCCAGAAACTGAACTAAAGGGAGGGAAGGCAGCGGCTGCCAGATGCGCATGGTCCCTCCAGTGGCATGGGGAGAGGCCTGCGTAGCGACGATGCGACGAAAAGTGGCCGCGTCCGCGAAGACCGGAGCCTCAACATATACTAGGCCATTGGGGGTTATGAGCACTGCCTGGTTGTGGGAGCGGCCGTGAAAAACCTCGGGGCCTGTGGGGTAGGTGGGAAGGCTGACCTGCATAGCGGAGAAAAGAGAAATGGGAGGGTCAAGGGAGGCTCCAACAGGGCCTTGCAGGGACTCCGGCGCTGGCCCAATCTGAAACTGCAAAGTGTCAACATCTTGCAGAAAAAGAGGTTGGGAAGTTAGCGTAAGCCACCCCCATTGACATCGCGCAAGAAGGCGATCCAGGTCTGCACGAACCTCCTGGGCTGTCATGGCAAGCTGAGCAATAGCCCTGCAAGTGGAGTCGCGAGAGCATAGCAGCATGCAAACACGGCCTCCAAGCTGCCTGAGGTCGACCGGGAGCCACACCTGGCGCCAGGTGCAGGTTACAGGGGACAACAGAAGCTGCTCACCTGGGAGCCCGGGCAGAACCCCACGAATTGGGCAAACCGAGAAAGTGCTTGCCATAAACCCAAGGGAGGCGGACAACCGAGCGTGCAAGAGGGGACCATGAAGCCATTCATCCACAAGGAACGGGACGGGGCAAGGCTCGAGAACAGGCGCTCCCGGAGGAGTGCCCACGAAAACAGCCAAGTGCCGGCGGTTGCGGTCCGTGCGAGGAAGAAGAAGATTACCAGTACGGCCAACTGGATAAACCTCACACATAGCATCCACAGAGGGAGTGGGCAAGACAGGACCCGTGCTGAGAACAGGACGTCCTTCATGAAACCCATGTGCATGCAGTTGCACCGCCGCCGGAATCCGCGTGCAGGAAGCAGCGAGGAGAACACCAAGGTGCAAAGTCGAGCCATCAACAACCGAGAGGTAGCCGAGGAAAAAGGCCGTCCCGAGACGACGGCAGCCAGACACACGAGCATCCGATCGACTTCTGCAACGACTGCTGCCGACACGACGGCAAGGAGTCCCATACCGGGTGCACGACCAAGCATCCTCTACCCCAGAAAGACAAGGGGTAGCCCAGTGGGTCACGAAGGACATCCAAAGGGGTTTCAGCCACATGCAGGGCCGGTGGAGGAGGGGACGGCACCGGGATGCGAAACCACCAGGACAAGCACAGGTGCGAAGATGGCCCAGGCGCGTAGAGCCCAAGTCCAGGGCAAGACCAGGGAGGAAGGCCAAAAGTTCGCTGATGCAAGCGCAGGCAAACATGGAGGCAGGCGGCCCAAATAGAGCTGCCACCCACCAAGCTGTCGCTGACAGGGTACAGCTAAGCTGCCACGAGCGACGCCACGAGAGTTGCGGTCCATATGTGGCCAGGAAACGCTCACTGACGACGGCTACTCTGTACAGAGCTATGCACAAGATGAGGCACCGCCCTAGGAAAAGGCTGAGAGTGATCAAAGAAAGAGGCGATTTAACGCCGCCTTCCTGAGCACTGCCAGCTGGGCTGAGTGCGACAACGCCGTTGCAGCAGAGCAGACTCGAAGAACCACAGCCCGGCATCACTCGAGTTCTTCGTCCAGTTCCTCGGCCAGCGCTGCACCAAGGAACGGGGAAGGCAGGCGCAGTAGGACTTGAACACGTGGGTCCTGTGAGGCATCCCGAGCAATGAAGCCGCGCAATTGCACTTCGGCCTCCAGCAATAGGCTGGGGAACAACCATTCCTGGGCCGTAGAGGGTGCAAATGAGAAGGGATCCAGCAGGCCTCCTGTGGTCAGCAAGCTGGCGACCAGAAGTCCCTGCCGGACCCTCGGCAAGACGTCCGTGCACTTCCGCAAGCAGTGCAAAGCCGTTTGCAGGAGTCGATGTAGCTCCTGAAGGTCCGCCTGGGTGGGGTCGCTGACTGCATGTACCAAGGCCATCCACGTGGACTCTGCAGTCTGCAGAGTCACTTCCTGTGCTTGTGCGTCCAAGGTAAGCGGCAGGCAGGCGTCTTGCTGAGGGCACGGTGCCACATCGCCCACCATGTCGGAACCAGTGTCGACACAGAAACGGAGCATGGCCATCCAAGCCTCCACCCAAGGACCAGCGGATGCAGCCAACGCACCAGGGAGGAGCTCGGGGCCTTCGTCTGCCACCACAATTACCGGAGCCTGTAGATTCCCGCGGCCATGGAGTCCCTGACAGATCGCGCCGGGGGCTCTTGGAGGGCCGCTCGACACCGCCGCCACTGCGTTTGCGCCATCTGCCACTGCGCGCCTCCGGCTCTCCTAAACCTGTCAAGCGTCCTGGGGTCCCGAAGCTGGCCTCCGATCCACCGCTCCCAAAACCACCAGGATGTACTGCAGGTGGGCCCAGCGGGACCGGTGGCATCAAAGTTGCGGACATAGCAGTGGCCGGCTGCAGGGGAGCCCCAAGGGTGCCACGTGGCGCAAGAGCCACAGAGCCTCCAGGGCCGGGATGCATGTCCAACGATGAAGGGTTCGTAGTAGCAAACGCCTTGAGGGCAGCAGCGAGCCGATGCACCTCCTGCACCTGTGGATCCGTCCAGATAGGGCCCAAGGACTGTTCCGCTCGCGCCAGCTGCTCGTTGGTGGTTGCAGACGGTTGTGCTGCCGAGACATGTCGGAGCTCCTCGACTGCAGCGATTGAGTCCTCGTCCACCTTGCGAGACAGGGCATCCACTCGATGCGTCAGGCCCAACAGATGTTGGCTGAGCATGGAAACCCAGGCTGTCAGCGCATCTTGCAGGTCCTTCTTGGCACGCATGTTGCCATTGAGTCTTTTGGAAAGGCGGCCCAGGGTGTTGGCTGTGCGCTGTGCCAACTGTTCCACTGTTGCACCATCTGTCGTAAAGGATCCTTGTCCCCAAAGGTCCTGTGTTGCTCTCGACGAAATTGATTGCAACGTCTGAACCATGGAGGACGGCAGGCCAAAATCGACACGCGTGATCTGGGCCTCGGTGCGATCTTTCCCCTTCCCAGCTCCACCCTTGGTGGAGGGTTGATCGTTGGCCCCCTTTTTCGGGGGCATGCTTCCGTGATGAGCCTGAAGGAGGGCCCGATCGCCTGGCCAACCTCGTCCAAGATGAAGCCGGCGACGTGCTTGTGCCCGCCTTTTGCGGGCTCGGCGATGCCACGCTGGACTCCTTGGTCGGCGCACAGTCAGGGTAGGAGCAACCCCAGACCAGCAAAAATATACCCACCAGCGCCAGTGGGAGTAAAGGAGTGTACCTGCGGCGTGCAGTCATACACCCCTGCAGGGGCAAAAGTAAGCTGAAATACCAAAAGAGCAGCAGGCCGTCGGCCTATTGAAAGGCAGCGGGGCAAGGCCCTCAGGTACCAGCAGGCTGACCACCTGTCAGCAAGGGCCCTCGGCCCTAGGCGAGCTCCGCAGAGAGCAGCGCCGGTCGCACAGAGTGCTGGGGTCAGGTATGGCAAGGAAGGAGGTGAAACACCAAATTGGAGAACTACCTCAATCAGCTTGCCTCGAGCCGTGACGCCTAAACCCCTAAACCCTAAATCCTAAACCCCTAAACTCCAAACCCTAAATTCCTAAACCCTAAACCCTAAACCCTAAATTCCTAAACCCTAAACCCTAAATTCCTAAACCCTAAACCCTAAACCCCAAACAATAGTGGCTCACTGGCATAGCTCCTTTGACAAGCCGCCAGAGCTTCTTCGGCTAGGGGGCTCGTGACGGCCCCAAGTTTCGGGATCACGAGCCGATGCCGGGCAAATAGTAGCAGTTCCCTAGACCCCCAAAAGTAGGTAAAATAATGGCCCAAAACCTATAAAAGGCTATGATTCTACATACTTTTGGGGTCCAGGTCGGCACATTCATGCACAAGTATGGTGTGAGAACTGTCACTAGAAGGTTAATGGAATGTACGGATGATGCGTCGTCGTAAGATTCTCTCACAGGGAAGCGAGACAGCATGCGAGAGTTGCGGCTCTGGCTCATGTGACTTCACTTCTAGAGCTTAGCCGGCTTTTGCTTCTGAAGCTCCTGATTCCCAGCCTTGAGTTTGAATTCGGTCGCAAGATCTCACAGCGGGGCACGCCATGTATAGGAAAAAGACGCAGCGTTCGTGGTCCCGCCCTGTGTGCCTGGTGTGGAGTTCGAAATGCTTTCTTTTATTATGCACCTTCCCAGAATGCATGTAGACGTCTTCGCCACTTAGAAACTCCCAATCATCGGGGTTGTCTCGAGCACGCCGCCAAGCGCACCCAGCACAATAGGTTACAGGTTTAGCGTTTGTTTTGGAAGCCTAGATCACTCAAGACCTACACCTCAATCCTCAGGAAAGCCAAAGCGGTAGCCTGCACCTAAGCAAAAGATTTGAAAGATTTGATAATGGTTCAGAAGTCAGAAGCTGTGAAAACCAGCGAGGCAGATCTGCAAACCGTGCACTGCTGGTCCCGTTGGGAACACGAGTGCGCCGGCTTGCAGTAAGCCTAGGCTGTAAGTTTCGGGTTTGGGGTTAAGAAGGATCTTCTAGCTTTAGAGATTTAGTTGTTTGTTTGGGGCTTGAATGAATTTTGGCAGAGGGGCTTAAAGGGCCTAAAGTTTAGGGCTTCAGGTTAGTTCAAGTCAAGGGCTCAGAGCGTGGAACTCTCTGCAGTAGAGGTGCTCTTCATGAGGAGCGTAGTGCCGAAGCTGGCACGCGTTCTCGGCAGCAGCGCAAACTTAGGACTTTGCCACTTGCTCACCGTTCGTTGATGTAATGACAGTTCCATCGCCTTCTTGAAACTGAGTAAGACAAGTCTGAGCGTGGAGCCGTGGCTACGAGGTGGGGCTGTCAGTCGGCTGGTTAGCGGGTACCGACAGTCTTTGCTGCTCCCAGAGACATACCTGCAGCTGGAGTGGGTCTGCGTGGCCAAGTGGAGCATCCATACGGTTTAGGGTTTAGGGTTTAGGGTTTAGGGTTTAGGGAGTGTGAAGGGGCGGCCGAAAAGCCGTAAGGTCTGGGCCGTCGGCTCCAGGCCCCACGCCCTAAGCCCTGAAAGCCCGAAACCCCAAACCGTCAAGCCCTAGCAGGCATACTATAAATCCTAGACCGTAAGCCATAAGCCCTTAACCCTAAATCCTGAACCCTAAACCCTAATCCCTAAACCCTAACCTTTAGCACTGAAAGACTTACGCCCTGAGCCCCTAAAGTCTGTAGGCCCGAACCACTAAACCGTCACCCTTATCGACTTGTGCGCCGGGTAGAGCCCCAAGCCCAAACCCTTACGCCTTACACCCGGAAACCCTTAAACCGAAGCCCCAAACCCTAAACCCTAAACCCTAAACCCTAAACCCTAAACCCTAAACCCTAAACCCTAAACCCTAAACCCTAAACCCTAAACCGTTACCGCTAAAGCCCGAAACCCTTTAGTCTAAACGCTTCAACCTCTGAACCCCTAAGCCCTAAACCAAATCTCCGTTTAGGGTTTAGGGTTTAGGGTTTAGGGTTGCAACCCCCTTAAAATCCAAGGGTAGAAGGAGAGACCCTTAATAGGGACCCCTAGATTGTATACCCATGATATAGCCCATTATAGGGTAGGGGTCCCCATTAAGGGTCCCTCCTCTTCCCCTTTGATAAAAGGAAGCCCTGGGTGCCAACTCCCAGAAACCTTAAGCCTGGGATCCCCAAGCCCCCCCGCCCAAAAAAAACTGTAGTCTAAGGGGGTTTAGGGCTTTAGGGCTTTAGGGTTTAGGGTTGTAGTCTAAAGCCCTTATAGTCAAGAGCCAGAAAGGAACCATTTCTCCACCGAAAAAGCTTCTTTCGGAACCTGCTTGGAGGCAAGGAACCCCGAACCTTGAACCCTAAACCCCAGGCAGTGAGGGTGGAGATCAACGACAAAGCAAAACTAAACCCCAAGCCCCCAAAGGAATCCCTAAAGGAACCCCTGAAGGAACCTTCAAAGGAACTAGAGTACTTCCGAAAGGAAACCCCGGGCAGGAGAAGCGCCCGAATGCCGCAGCCCAGGTGCGGCTGTGCAGCCGCCGCGCTTGAAGCCATCCCGCCGGAGGGGGCCTCGACTTTCACGGCTTTAGGGCTTGCGGCCGAAGTACGAAAGGGGTCGGAATGATCACGGATGATATTCCTCCAGGTTCCCTTGCCATAATTTACCACAAAATCCCCACCGGCGATAAAGGCGGGCATGAAGATGTTCACGCAACGTCTATATGCTTAGTAGCTCATAACCCCACCCACAAGAACCGGCTAACTTCTGTATGCACCTCGACCCTTCAACTCAAGGAGTATTGCTCAGAGTCTACACTTTAACCACTGAGCTGTAAGCTAGACCCTGATAGTCCTTGTAATTCCTCAGACCCAAAATCCCTAAGTGTTTGTAAGATAGCTGTAAAGCAAACTTCCTAGAAACCCTCGTGCTAAACGCTCCAGAGCAATTAAGCGAATCAAGAACACCCCTGGTAAAAAGGATACCTGAGCCCTACCCTAAACCCGAAACCTTAAACACCCTAAACTAAGCCTAAACTCCTGAATCCTGAAGCTTGAACATGCACTGTAGTTATATGAGAGGAACCCGAAGGTAATCTGACTCCCAGGCCACGCCTCCAGCGGATTCGGGTTTCGCTGACCTCATGGAAGCTATCTGTCTCTTGGTCAAGTTTAGGCTTCAGGCAAGCTTTGGGGATGAGCTTAAGACTTAAGACTGTTTGATGCTACGACGTTCTGGGTTTTTTCGGTTTCGGTGTCGGGTTTGTGGGCCCTAAACCCTAAACCCTTACCTCTAAACCCTAAACCCTAGAGTTGCAGCTTTGGGCTTCGGATGCGTCGGGGGATGGTCGCAGGCTCCCAGGTTAGGGCTCCCTACACCCTAGGCAAGCGCTATATGGGTAGTTGTCAAAATTATGGTCCCTTTTTTGGGTACCTTAAATATTAGGTGCCGTATTATAAAAGGGGCCCAAAAAGGGACCATAATTTTGACAACTACCCATATCCTAAAGCCCCCCGGAGCTTGAAGGGCTCCTCAAGAATGATTCCTTGGGGTTTAGGGTTTGCAGTTTATGAGTTTGGGGGTTAGGAATTAGGGTTTGAAGTTTAGGAGTTGAGGGTTTAGGGCTTTGGGGTTAGGGTTGTTTCCTTGCGTGCAAAAGCCTCAAACTTACCTAGCCACTCGCCACACCCTCTGTTCTCATGCCAACGGCAGTCTGGATCCATATGCTACAGAGCCTGCATACCGCTCAGCCCTAAAACCCATAGACCTTATCTAGGCCCTGCGTCACCCGAAAGAACCCTAAACAGTGATTTCTATTGTAGGGGCCTTAATCATATTTTCGGGCCCAGTACTATAATAAAATAAGGAACCACCAAAATAGTAGAAGCAATTACCCCTACCGGACGGCTTTTGGTTCTACATGAAGGGGTTCAGGGTCGCGGGTCGAGGGGGGAAGGGGCCAGGGAGGGGGAGTTTCGAGCTTCAAGGCTACTGATAGGGGCCTGAATAATTACGAATACTCTTGTGGTGGGTTCCTTATTTTTCGTATAGTATCATGGGCGCCAAAGCCCTATTCTAATTAAGGCCCCTATACTACTTATCTGGTGGCTTCGATGGTTTCCTACCGTGCGAAAGCCCTGAAGCCAAGACATACAAAGCGCCTTCGCTCTTCCCCCTCTGCTAGGCAGTTTGCTTACGGTTTAGGGTTTAGGGTTTAGGGTTGGAGGGGAAGCCGAATTGAGGATACTCCCCTCATAAACCCTCAATCAATCCCTAACCCAAGCCCGACAGCCTTCTCACCCTAAACCTTAAAACCCTAAACCCTAAACCCTAAACCCCAAACCCTAAACCCTAAAACCCTAAACCCCAAACCCTAAAACCCTAAACCGATGGGACGTCGTAGGGTCTTCTTTGTCGCCCATAACTCAAAGCGATCCTGCCGGCCTGCCTTAGAAGTAGACTAGAAGCCCGCCTAAACGGTTTAGGGTTTTAGGGTCTAGGGTTTTAGGGTCCAGGGTCTAGGGTTTTGGGGTTTGGGGTTTCAGGGTTTAGGGTTTAGGGTAAACCCTGAACCCAAACCTG